CCCTAAAATTCCTGCGGAACTCATCATTGTTTGATCGACGCACTTTCCAGAAGATGATTCTAGTGGCTCTATTCATCATTATTGGGTCTTGGTGGTTCGAGTTGATCATCGCCTCCAAAGTGGAAATGGGGTTCATTCTGCTGTATGAGACTAAGATCACTGCATGAGAGCCCACTGTTGGGTCCCTTGGTGGCCTTACGTCCATGGAGAATTTGTACATTGAGGGAGGACAATTTAATATGAATTTCTTGCTCAATTATTCCTTGAAGAGTAGAACCTTTACCTCGCTTAGGTTTGGAAACTCCACACTTAGCTCCATATTTAGGGGTTCCAGCTCTTCCTCCTCCTCCATTGGGTTTCCTCCTTGACCTTGTTCGTTGGGAGGTGGATTGTTCTCCATATGATTTGGAATATTGGGATGAATTTGGTTTGCATGGGTGTCCCATGGGATGAGAATGGGACTAATTTGAGAAATCTCCTCTGGAAAAAAGAAGGGAAGGTCCAGAGGATAGGGAACTAGGATCTGGGGATTTACTCGTGGTAGAATATTCCACTGGCTTTGCATGGCCTGGAGTAGATTGTGATTCATGGTTGGTGCTAGAGGTTGTAGCACATTGTTTATCCATGTTTGAGTCATGAAGTTGTTCATGGCTAATCTCACTCCTTCCGATATGAGTTGTGCCAGGTATGGAGTATTTTGGATCACTATGACAGTGTCTTGGCCATTGATCTCCATGTTGAAGGAGATCGCAAAGCCCATTAGCCCTGCTTCCATCCAACTTAGGGGTTGGTAATTTAGGAGAAATGGTGGAGAAGTGTAGTAGATTGTTGGATTTGGTAATTGGGAGGGGGGGGGGGGGGGGGGAAGGGAGGAAGATTGTTCATGGTTGAATGGGGTGTTTGACAAATGACTTGAATCAGTCTGTTTCTCCTTCTCAATGTGTAAGGGAGTCTTGGCATTTTGATACTCGTTGGGATTCATCTGAAGATAATGTAGTTGCCACATTTTCTAAGATAATGTCCATTTGTTCATTTTCTAGTATGTTATTGGACAGGTGTTGGGGGCAAGAATTTGGGTTGGGTAGAGTTGTACCTAATGGGGGTGGATGATTAGAGGTGGGGTGGAGGATATCCTTGTTTTTTGATTGGCTTCGATGCCATGCTGCATTAGCAAATTGATTTTCTCTAAGATTCTTACCTACCGGTTTATTATTACTAATCTTAGTCTTAGCTAATGATTGAGACATATAGGAGGCTGGGTTAGTAGTATTCTCTACGTGTTAACTAAATGAGGTAGGGGTGCTCAACTTATCCTCCATGCATTGGTCAGGCTTTCCTCCAAAACCATTGGATTGGGGTTATTAGTGGAAACTGTGGGCTTGATTAATAGGGAGTGGAATTTGTTATTAGTGGGAAGAGGGTTAGCATTGTTAATAACGGTGGAATTATTGTTAAAATCTTTAAATTTTAATGATTTATCCTTATTATCTTTCTCAATAAACTTTAATTTCTAAGTTTGGAGGAACTTACCTGTATCTGCATTGAAGATCTTAACATTAATACATGGTGTTGCTGAATCATTTAGTGCAACTGATTTTCATCGTGTGTCTCTATGTTTGGACTTGTTGAAAGAGACTGTTTCCCATTCTTCACCTCTTGGATGTTGTTGCATTACCTGGGAACTCTGCATTTCCTGATCATTTTGGAACCTTCACTGACATGGAATGGGGGCAATGTAGATTTGTATGGCCAAGTCTGTCACATTTTTTGCATAGAAAATTTTCTCCTTCGTATTGAATGGATTGCTTGTGTGACCCAATAAAAATAAATGATTTTACTGGTTGATCCATGGGAATTTCCGCACAGTCTAGCATAACGACCTCTTAGGGTAGCCGAAGTACATGCATCAACCCTTAACAATCTACCAATGATGTTCCCTATTTTTCGAAGAACCACACCATCATAAAACTCAGTCGGGAGGTGTGGTAGGCGAACCCAAATGGCTGTATTAAGGGGATTAGGTTCCGACGCCACAAAGTTTGATTCCCACTTTTGAACAGAGAGGAAATTTTCATTGATGAACCACAGACCTTGATGCATGACTTTGGCTAGGTTTTTTTTCTTTGTAAATTTAACAACATAATAATCTGCACCTAAGTCAATTAATGGGAAATTTTCAGTTATCTTCCATTGTTCTTGGACTTTCTTCCTTAGGTAATGGTGCCTAACACACTTTCACAAGAGCTTTATGATGACCAAGTGTTTTCAAGGATGGTAAATACACTGCAAATCTTCAGATGATAGGCTAACCTTATAGCCTTCATTTAATGTATCCATTTCACGCGTATTGTAGTCCATAGGCTCTGATTATTGCTCTACTTGGTCAGTAGGTTTGTTTGGGAAGGCTTCAAATTGGACTGTTATGTTGTGTAGAGTAGTATCATTGAGTAGTTTGTCTTTGAAGGAGGAGGATCCCTGAAGAAACGATACAGTATTGGCCCTTGGATCACCATTGATGGCGTTAGAAGCTATAATATCTGGTGGTTTTGGAGGGATTGGGGAAGTTGTTTGGATAGCAGTAAAAGTGATTTCTATGGTCATTGGGAGAAAACTATGGTACGATCTTCATATAACAATAGGTTGAGTTATGAAGTTTGTTACAGACTTACAGTTGTCCTCCTTTTCCTATAATTAAATAGAGTCTCTTATCACCTATTTGTAAAGCACCATGAAGAAGAAATAAAATCTCTCTTTAACAGTTCACTACGTGTTGATAAGTGTAGAAATCACGATTATTTAATCTTATAATGTTAAAGATAGAAAACATGTTCTTTTTGAAAAGTATATTCTAGAGGGTAAGGTTTAGGTACCCCGATCCCGTATTATATGCGGTTCCTTATTTGATCCCTCTTAAATGCGCGGTTAAGACCAAACACATGCATAATAGGAAATATAAAGTAAGATAACTAGGGGTGTCAATGGTTCGATTCGGCCGGTCATTTTATAAAATTTGTACCATATCAATTTTTCGGTTATTCTATTATGTATAACCAAAATTAAATTTTTCGAAACCGTCTCAATCATGTCGGTTTCTCTAAGGTATCGGTACGGTTCGGTAAATTTTCGATAATTTTTTTAATGTCATATAAAAGTCACTAGTAGAAGTAGAATGCAATAAGATACATACTTTTATAAGACTTAGCAAAACTCTCTTGATATTTTTACAGTTTAAAAGGTGATGAGTTAAGAAAATATGAAAGATGACAAGAGTATAGATCCATTAACTATTCTACATCAGCGTAAAATAAACTAAGCAAATACAAAAAAATATATAAATCAAACGAATGAAAAATATTAACCAAGTTGGGATTCGAGAATAAAGTATATAGAAGGTTAAATATTCAAAAAAATAAATCAAAATCATACAAAAGGAAACATATTCAATACATTGTAGTTTGCTACTCATAATCGCTACAATACCTTGCGTCTTGCTAATGAACATGCTGAAAATAATTTAGTTTCAACAGGAGTAGCCTAATAAATTTGGGAATTAGGATTTTGAGTTAAATTACTTGTTGGCTTGTAACTATTTCATAATTTCAAGGCCCGAGAAAAAATTTAATGGTTTATTATTTTTAAACTTATTATATAAATATATTTTTCACATTGCAAATTTATTTGGTACAATTCGGTATTTTTCGGTTTATTTTCATAAAATAAAAAATCTAGCCTAATTATCGGGTACGAGTATAGATTTATATAAAAACCTATAGTTTTATTAAAAGAAACTTAAAAATCGGTTCGGTACGGTACAGATCGTTCGGTTTTTAAATATCTATTGACACCCCTAGTCGTGGGACATCATAAATGTTTGCTACACTTTAATTTATGATAATCGCCAAACAAACAAGTTTGTAAACAGAGGAATAATGTAGTGCATGCTCTAAAATCCTTAAGTAGTTTATTCAACTGCTAATGCTGACTTGTGGATTCTACTTTTATGGCACTCTATTTCTCCTCATCATTCGTGGAAATGCGTCAATCAACCATGGATTTTATGAAGTATTCCAGCTATTCAAAGGGGTTTGGACAATATTTGGGTGAAATTGAAATTTGAAAGTAAATAGTATTTTGAAAACTAAAACTTTATGACATAAATTTCACTCAGTAAAAAAGTTGAAGTTCCGTGCATAAAAATTATTATATCACTTGAAATGAAAACTTGTCACACTTCCATAGGGAGTACTCCTCTAAATAAATGGTTGTCAATGTTAATTACTAAAACATGTATGTTATACATGCCACTCCATTTGTTTAGTTTAACCATGTGGTATTCGAAGTTCATTGGTACGGCTAATTCAGATATGCGACAGGTAGTCCTAGTAAGGGGTAAAGCTCTCCCAACATTTAGTTCTTTATTCCTAATAGCTTGACTACCAGCTTTTTTCCCATAACCACCTGCAATCACGAATAATTGTGCTATATGTCAAATTTCCTTGTTATAATATTTTAATTAAAAGTTTTCAAATTAAAAAGTTAGCTAAGTGACTTAGCACCAGTTAGTCAGCTATTTTTATTTTTATGTTAGGTGGCGACTCAAAAGTATTTTTTAAAACCCTTTTGAGTTATCAAATTATTGTGGTTCTCAAACTCTCTCAGGTAAAAAAACATCCACAAAGCAGGACCTTGAGTTATCAAATTATCGTGGTTCTCAAATTCTCCAATATTTAATTCCATGATGGCAACTGCACATTTCGTTCGGGTTTTATTTAAGTATTAGTAGTTAGTATCAAATTTCTAGCCGCCAAATTTGAGTCTTTCTGGGCCATACTTTCAGATTACTAGGAAATTTCCCAGCATAGAGAAAAGAATATATTCATATGTTGGCTTCACAATAATTAGTCCACAATACTAATAAATAATGNTGGGAAGAGATCCAAAATATTGGGATGACGCGGAAAGCTTTAAGCCAGAGAGATTTGAGCAATGTTCTGTAGATATTTTTGGTAATAATTTTGAGTTTCTTCCCTTTGGCGGGGGACGGAGAATTTGTCCTGGAATGTCATTTGGTTTAGCTAATCTTTACTTACCATTGGCTCAATTACTCTATCACTTTGACTGGAAACTCCCAACCGGAATCAAGCCAAGAGACTTGGACTTGACCGAATTATCGGGAATAACTATTGCTAGAAAGGGTGACCTTTACTTAAATGCTACTCCTTATCAACCTTCTCGAGAGTAATTTACTATTGGCATAAACATTTTAAATTTCCTTCATCAACCTCAATATTGTACAATAATCATTCTTCTGGTGTTATAGGCTTTATCGATTTCCAATACATGTATTCTTTATTAAAAAATGTATCACATTCCATGTATAAGGAGGACGCACCAATTAATTGTGTCATGATTTTATGGTAACTTGTTCCATCTTAGAACTTCTTAAGATTTGCTTTATTATTTCAAAGAACTTGTTAGGTTGACATTGTTAAGACTTTTTGTCAAATAACTTATACTTATAGAAGGCAAGAAAGTGGCATGGCATAAAGGAGAAGCAAATGCAAGAAGAACGGTTACCTGGATGGTTAAACTTGATAACTGAGAAGAACACTTAGTCAAGAATGTGAAGAAGCAAAGGCCATCACCCTCTTCTGTGGCGATGTCCAATTCCAACTCTTTCAGTAGCAAAGTTGAGGGTATACATTGGGAATGACCCAGCATTTCCTAGATAACTAAAAAGATTTGAAGCAATGCATGTTAATAACTTAGTTTGAATATCGAAGCAGACTACAAGTGAGGAAAGAAGAAAGAGGGTAGATGTATGCTACAACCTCTTATGACACTTCCAGTTTAAGCTTCTTCAGATTTCGACAATAGCTAGAGTGCTTGTGAGCATCAAAAATAAAAGAATCACATAATCTCCTCCAATAGTTAGCTGAGAGAAGAGGGGAACTTTCTTGAAAGGCACTTTAATAGTACGTCCAATGTATGTAGAAGACACAAGCTCTGGAGCATGAACCTTCATAGTCTTCAAATTAAAGCTTCACAATTTGATATTTCCATGGACCTTAACTTAGATAATGAACGAGCAACTTTCAAACTCTCAAGAGAATCTGAGGTTGAAATACAGACTTCCTCCAGTAAAGGGCAGTGGGACAAAAGGAACTCAACAACTTCCCGTGTTATGCGGACATTAACAAATTGGAAAGATTTGAGAGTCGCCAATATTCTCAGCAAATTAATCTCGCAACAAATGGGCAACAACTTTTGCACATGAGGAATGCTATGTCATATCAAATTCACTGCACACATTACCTGCTGCCAGGTTCAGTTCAAATACTTTGACCTGCTTTTGTATTGCAACATTAATCCAGCAATCAATATCACACTCGACTTGGCCTTGATTTACTGTTGCAAAATCAGTACTGCTGTAGGGGGGAGTACACTTGGGTAGACAAAACCAAATTTGAACCACTCAATAAATGCACCCTCATGAAATTTCAAAGGCATCATTCACCGAATTTATAAACTTTTCTGCTGCATCAATTTCAAATGTGTCGTCATTATATAATTCAATTCTGCAAATTGTATGTTCCCATAAGTATCTCCAGTGCTGCGAGAGAATACAGGTCTTTGCTGCCTCGTGGAAGTTCAAACAGGAAAGTATGGCAATAAGCAACTCATCAGGCAAGTCGTCACTCGTCAATCCCACACTTGCAGAGATTTTGCATTTAAAAAGAAAAAAAAAACTTTATACATTAGCCTAGGAGTGGAATAAAAAGTGTTGGAGGTAGACCTATAGTTTAAAAGTATGTTACCTTCCGGCGCTTAATAAAGGGGGCAGGAGGCATCAGATCATCCATCTTACTTCAACAGAAAGTAGATAAAAGGCCACAGAATTGATGTATAGTTTCAACATTACTGGTAATTTTATAACGAAATTAATAGCACAAGCAGAACATAAGAACACCAAATCAGTGCATAGAATGCAATTTATCAGTATACCAGTGAATGGAATGCAAAGAACAGAACTTTCTAAAGCGTGACCAAAAGCGAGCTGAAGAATACAGAGAAGAAAGGTGAAAATTCAAATATTTTAACTTCTTATTATTTAATCACATGTGTTCATAACAAAAAGGAAGGGTTTAATCTTGAGCAAATTAAATTTAAACACCCTTATAATATGACTGCGTTATAGACACACCCCTTGTATTTCAAAAATCAAACACTTAATATCCATATAAAATGAAAATCCTACATAAAAGTTAACGGCTTTACACTTGGTTGCTAACTTGAAGCCTTAGCGGCGTTACACTTGGTTGCTAACTTAAAGCCTTAACTTCAGAGAGTTGACCAAAGTCAACATTTGAGCTAAACGGATTGAGAATCATGATTTGAAGGTTCCTATAGGTTCGTACGATGATTTTGGACTTGTACTTATGTTCGGTCTAGCACCTGGGGCTCAATCCCTCCTTTCTTTCCCCTGCCTCCGGACACCTTGGAAAGATTTGATTGGAAGGAGGGTGCGGAACAAATACGTTGGTTTGACTGCTAGGATTTCATCGGGATGCATCAGCGGAAAATGGAACTATCGAATCATGAGTGACTCGCTTTGTCGCTATGGGAAGAATAGCAATAGTCCGTTAATCTTTTCCCTTTCATTCATATAACATGTCATGTATTGCTAAATTGCATGTTTGCTTGTATAGACTTGTTTTTATATAGAAAAATCAAATAAATACATAAAACAAGAATCTGCGGAAATCATGATTAAGGCCGCTGGGAACACAGATAAGCGAATGCCTAAGCAATGAAAATCATTTTCTTCTCCAGAATATCAAAACAGTACTTAAAGGAAGCTTTCTCACAACCCCAATCCCGTTAAATTTGGGGCTAATTCTTGTCAACAGAAGAATCCATTTCAAACTAGGATATCAATCAAGCTTTTATTTCAGCAAACATTGTGGACTTAAGGAAATGGTTCTATTACTGAAATCAGAAGAAGCTTTCTCTTACCTCTTTGATGTTGATATTGATAAATCTTCAAAGCTTTCCTTCGTTGCTATCTTTGCCAAGTTTTTATTTTATATAAAGTAGGCCTGTACTACGAGGGTCAAACTGGCTAAGCTTATGAATCAATCAAATTGGCTTTTTAAACACCCAAATTACTTGCACACTTTTAATTTGATCAAGATTTTTACTAATTTAATCTTAATAATATTTTTTAATTTACAAAATATTTTTCTCAAGATAAATTTTCTAACTTTTTTTTTATTTCATATTGTTGTTCATTCTTTTTATTACAAAACAAATTTAAATTTATAATCTTTTGTAAAGTTTTTAAGAATATTTTAGTCATTTTAATAAAAAAATGGCTTATCGTCACTTTTCTACCAAACATATTAACTGTTTATTATCAATTTTAACACATCTATTCAGACACATAAATATATAATTAAAAAACCAATTTCAATACTTAAAAATATTTTTCTTATCGGCTAATCCAAACAGGCGGTATGGCAGTTCTCCTCCACTTTCTTCTGGTGATTTCCTACACTTCGTTCCCGCCACTTCAGTTCTCTAGGTTAGTTTAGTCTTTTCCAAAAGCTGCTGAGTCAGCTCTTCTAAGTTCTAACAATAAAAAGTTTTTAGGGAAAAGGCATAAAACTTGTAGTGGATTTCCGGTTACACACTTTTGTGTAGTTAGTAATTCAATAAGGTACTTATGTTTTTTCCCAAAAATTCTATAATTCCTCATTTTCCTTAAATTAATCAAAGTCATTATATAATGAAACATCTCTATAACAACATCACTTGTTCCGAAATTTTTCGACTTTTATAATGAATGACTGGTATACACCTATAATAGCATTTGGTATTTAAATTATTTTGGTTGTTATAGACAAAAATATTCAAAAACTAATTGGTTTTTTTTTATAATATTATATATAACAGATTAATAAATATTTAAATTCAAAATCTCAAAAGATATAAATATTTCACAAATTAAATGCTAAAGAAATCTAATACATTATTAAAAAATTCTTAACTAAATGCACAAATATTTAAAATCTAAGGCACACAATTAAAAAATACGAATAAATTACGTTTATATATTATTGGTAATTGTCCAGTATAAAATATATCATGTCTACATCTTCAAATAAAAAAAGAATGATATGCATATCTTCAAAAAGTATAAATAAATCTTTTAAGTATCTTTTGGGATTTCTCTAATGCAAGATATATCATTTGTAGCTCTTTAGTTACAAAAATATTTGATGTGCATATGTTCATGGAACATACTGATATCCTTAAGATAATATATAGCTATTATAAGTTTTACATTAAAGTTATAAAATATTTGCTTAAATATTTAGAATTATTATTAGTAATAATCTTAAAAATATGCATGGCTGTTATAGAAGGGTAATTTTACAAAAAGCATACTGTCATAAAAATAGTTATTGTTGTTATAGGCAGAATGCTGTTATAGATAGGTAAAATATAACATAAAAATCGGTTCTGAGAAAAACTAGGCTTTTATAATGAATGGCTGTTATATAGGGATGTTGTTATAATATAACGACCCGGCCAGCCGTTTTTAGAATTTATGCCCTGATCCCCTATTAACTACTTTCCCTGTGTTTATTTCCACTATTGTGATTTGCCGGGATGTTCGGTTGGGAGTTTCGGAGAGTTTTGGGACACTTAGTCCTTAATGAGAGCTTAAGTGTTGGAAAGTTGACCATAGTCGGAACAGTGTGAAGATGACCTCGGAATGGAAATCCGATGGTTCTGTTAGCTCCGTTGGGTGATTTTGGGCTTAGGGGCGCGATCAGATTATGTTTTGGAGGTCCGTAGCTAATTTAGGCTTGAAATGCCGAAAGGTCAAATTTTGAAGTTTTCGGTTCGATAGTGAGATTTTGATCCGAGGGTCAGAATAGAATGCCTGAAGTTAGAGTAGCTCCGTAGTATTAAATGTGATGTGTGCGCAAAATTTTAGGTCATTCGGATGAGGTTTGATAGACTTTTTGATCGAAAGTGTATTTTTAGAGTTTTAAAATTTTTAGGCTTGAATCCGTGGTTAATTCATCGTTTCGATGTTGTTTTAGGTGTTTTAAGGATTGATATAAGTTTGGATAGTGGTATTAGACTTGTTGGTGCATTTGGTTGAGGTCTCGGGGGCCTCGGGATGATTTCAGATAGTTGATAGAAGGATTTTGGAGTTGGGAGTTGCAGCTTCAGCTGCTGGTTTTCTATCATAACCACACCTGCGAGTGTGAGACCGCAGGTGCGGCGTCGCAGAAGAGGCTATGTGGCCGCAGAAGCGGCTATGTGGCCGCAGAAGCGAGATTGGCCAAGAGCTCCAGGATCCGCAGGTGCGGCTGGGTTTTCGCAAATGCAGTGCCGCAGATGCGGATCTAGCCCGTTAAGTGACTTTTCGCATCTGCGATGCATTCTTCCGCAGGTGCGCTCCCTTTACCGCAGAAGAGGATTAACTGGGCAGAAACATATAAATACTTGCCTTCGCGAAATTTAGCTATTTTCACCTCTTTCCAAACGGGAAGAAGCTTGGGGAGCATTTTTCATGAGAGATTTTCATAGGAGTTCATTAGGGTAAGGTCTTTGGTCCCTAATTGGAGTGATTTTTATCATTATAAGCATGAAAAATTAAGGAAAATCAGTGCTAATTTAGGGGTTAGGGCTTGACTAATTAGAGACCTTTGAGTAATGATTTGAGGGACCATTTGAGGTCCGATTTTGGTACTTTTGATGAATGAACTCGTGAGAGTGTGAGGATTCTGGAACTTAAATTTTACCTGATTCCGAGACGTGGGCCCGAGGGGCGTTTTTGTTATTTTACCTAATTTCGCGTATTAGCTTAGAATTTCTTTGTAGAATCAGTTACTTGAAGTGTTATTTACATTATGAAATTGAATTAAATAGATTTGGGCCATTTGGAGTCGAGTACTCATGGCAAGAGCATGGTTTCGGATTGATTTGAGCTAGTTCGAGGTAAGTGGCTTACCTAACCTTGTGTGGGGAACCTTCCTCTTAGGATTTGGTACATTTGGTAATTGAAATGCCTTGTACATTAGGTGACGAGTGAAAATCCGATTTTCTTTAAGTAATTTCAATGGTGTCCCTTTTTCCTATTTTATACTACTTGCAATTTAAGCATGTTGTTAGCTTAGAAAAAGCATGTTTAATTTACTTAATTGCTTAAACTGCCTTAAGCATGTTAGGTTAGAATTACCTGTTTACTTGGTACAAAATTGAGCTTACTTGAGTATTCTTTGTGTTGCTATCGTGTGTTATTATTTTGGGACTACGGGACGGCATTCTGGGAGATCCCCTGCACGTATATATGATTTGAGCTGAGGTGCGGGATACCGAGAGATCCCTAGCACGGATATTGAGGATACCAAGAGATCCTCGGGATACCGAGAGATCCCTAGCACGGATATTGAGGATACCAAGAGATCCTCGGGATACCGAGAGATCCCTAGCACGTATATTGAGGATACCAAGAGATCCCTAGCGCATATTGAGGATATCGACAGATCCTGGGGATACCAAGAGATCTCTGACATATATCGAGGGTACTAAGAGATCCTCGAGATACTAAGAGATCCCCAGTTATTTCCTTGTGATTGTTTTGCCTCTATTTCAGTTATTGAATTCCTTGTTTTCTGTATTAAATTCTTATTGTTAGCTTCCAACTGTACTGCTTATCTTATACCGTCATGCCTTATAATTTTTATTTTATCTCAGTAGGGCCCTGACCTTCCTCGTCACTACCCGGGCAAGGTTAGGCTTGACACTTATTGAGTGCCGCTGTGGTGTACTCATGCCTTTTTTGCGCATATTTTTCATGTACAGATCCAGGTACTGCGACTCAGTCCTATCACCCTTGAGGAGAGGCGACTGCTCGAGAGATTTCGAGGTATATCTATTGTATCCGCAGACCGAGGAGTCCCTTTCCATTCTATCTTGTAGTGACATCCCTTTTATCTTTTCTATTGATGTAGACATTCCGGAGTTAGTGCATTTTTATTATATTCGTAGCTTGTGATTCATGGGTTTTCGGGTTTTGAAAAAATGTATTAGTTTCGAGAATTTATATTGTGTATGCCGAGCGACACTTTTAAATGTTGTTATATCACTCTATTTCTGTTTTAAATTGTTTTTCTTCCGTAAATTGGTTTATCTTTCGTAATTTAGGCTTACCTAGTCGTAGAGACTAGGTGTCGTCACGATGGTTCACGGAAGGCGAACCGTTGTCGTGACATATAAAGAAGTCTGACTGTATTTTCTTAAACAAAAAGTCACTCAACTTACTTAGGTATTATGAAAGTTAATAATTTATTTTTATAACCATAATGTCATTCAACTTTGCCTAATTAGTATAATAAGGATCACTTTTTTTATTTTTCTCTTAGTGATATTATGTGATAATTAAACGTTGAGTTACTTTTTGGTTAAAAAAATAATTTGGTAACTCTGATGACCCAAATGGTCATCTTGTATTTTAGAATCCGAATCCGGGTTCCGAGGCCCTGAAACTTTATTTTCCTTCTCCTCGATTTGCCTGCGTAGTCCGGGCGTGTTTTCGGAAAACGTTTATGTGAAATTGATTAAGATTGACTTTGGTCAACCTTTTTGGTAAACGGACTCGGACCCATAATTTGACGGTCCCGTAGGTTCCATAGTAAAATATGGGACTTGGACATTGCCCGGAATCGAATTCCGAGGTCCCTAACTCGAGAAACGAATTTTTAAAGAAAATTATTTGCTGGAAAATATAAGGACTTTTGGAAATAAAATGGTGTGTAATCTTGATGGTATCGGGCCCATATTTTGGTTTCGAAGCCCTATACAAGTTCAATATAATATTTAAGTTGTATCTGTGAAATTTGGTGAGAATCGGAGTTGAATTGGCGTGATTCGGACGTTCGGTTGTGAAAATAGGAATTTTGAACTATCATATGAATTTCATGAGTTTTCATAATGTTGGATATTTCGACGCCCAGTCGGGTATTGGCTTTTCTGATTTCTCGGTCTTTCTTATTTGATCATATCAGAAAGAGCCAGTATGATG